TGTTAGAATAAAGGCCCAACGCTAGAGGGGGGGTGAATAGCGTTTAAAACAAAATCGCAGGAAATTAAAAACGAGAGCGTTAAAGTAAAGAGCGTAAGGAAGGAGCACACCGAATTTTATCCTGGTTCACCACAACGTGTGGCTAATCCAGCCCCCCGAGAGACTCTCTCGAGCTACACTAACTCCGTTAAGCTTAAGGGTTCTTAACAAACCGATACAACTTGAGAACCCGAGTCACACGAGCCTCAAACACCTTTGCTCGGAGATACCGCACTCCAAGACATCTCACGAAGGAACAAGGAACTTCCTTCGAGTTTACAACAAGGGAACAACCTCCCTTAAAGTGTATGAAAACACTTAAACACTCAGGAATAAAACTCTCACAAAGAGTAGATATGAGTGAACTAGTAAACGCTTAAGAACACGACAATTTCTTCAAGAATTGGCTCTCAAATAGCTAAGAAAATTAGGAATGATTATGCAATGAAAGAGTATTGAAATGTTGAAGAATTATGTGTAAAATGAGAGGATTTGGGTACCATTTTATAGCCCAAAATGGGATAAACCCGTTGCTAGAGTTTCCAACAGGATGAAGACAAATTTTTCAGGGACACGGGCTGGTAGTCGATTATCCAAGCTTGATAATCGATTATCAAAAGATTCCTTGTCCAAAAATTTAAAATTCTATCCGTTGGAGGACAACGGTAACCCAGATAATCGATTGTCAATAAGTGATAATCGATTATTGGTCCTCTCAAAAGAATCTGGGTTTTGGCTGCAAAGACTGATAATCGATTATTGCATAAGTGATAATCGATTATTGCGTGCTTTAGAACTTTAAAAGTTCAAAGCTGCAGGGGCGGATAGTCGATTGTCACTAAGGTGATAATCGATTATCACCCAGCTAAAGTCTAGCCAGTTGAAACCCGTTTTGAAAAACCGAGGTCCAAAAACGAAGTGTTCCCAAAAGTAAAAACCAGGTTTGAAAAAATATTGTATATGGTATAAAATAGTGAAAACAAGACTTGTTTGGTAAAAACCAACTCTCCAAGGTTGTACAATACGTGCGTACGGCTTTGACCGTTTTTCACGTGTTAGACCGAGGTCCAAAAACGAAGTGTTCCCAAAAGTAAAAACCAGGTTTGAAAAATATTGTATATGGTATAAAATAGTGAAAACAAGACTTGTTTGGTAAAAACCAACTCTCCAAGGTTGTACAATACGTATAATTATTTGGGAACATTTTAAAAATGCTCAGTGGTAAAAAAAGGGTTTAAAATATTGAAAACCTTGGAGTTGGTTCGGGCGCCAAAAACCGAACGCCGAAAGCCTAACACCGAAAGCCGAACGCCGACTTAGGTGGTTTCGATTCCGAGCAAGGACCAAAGATTTTAACAATAAAAGAAATCATCAAAAATGTTTGTTTTGATGCACAAAAAATATTTTATGATTTGTAAATATTGTTTTGACTTTTTGAGAACCGAGACTTGAATTTATTGTCGGTTTTGATCACAAATGACCGACTCGACTAAGTCTTCAATTCTTGATCTTGTCCTTGAGTCTTTTAGGTCTTGTTCCAAGCCATTCTTCACGCCTTCATTTATTCAACGAAACTCTTTATATCCACGGCGGTTTGGCAATTATCAAAACCTGTCAGAAATGAACACGACTTTAGTTTATCGTACAAAGTGTGTCCCAACAATTCAAAGTGAAAACAATAACGTTCATCCCGATAACTTCCGACGTAAAGACTATATCCAAACTGGCTAAACGTGGAGCTGCGAGCCATGATATTCGAGTTACAGAGCTGGACAATCGATTACCAGACTGCGCTGAACTTCTCATTAGAATTAGCAGAGCGTGACAATCGATTATCACCTATGTGATAATCGACTATCAGGCCCGGCGGATTCTCAAGTATGGGCTGGTTTTACCGATAATCGATTATCACATAGCTATAATCGATTATCCGGCCTCTCTGAACTTGGGTGTCCTGAACAAAATACCTTGACAATCGATTGTCACGAAGTGACAATCGACTATCATGGCCTGCGGAACTTGGGAACAGAAACTGCACAGCATGATAATCGATTATAAAACAGTGGTTAATCGATTATTAGCCAGTTCTGAACCCAGGTCCGTCATGTTGAACAAGTTGTTTTCATACGAAATCAAACATATTTGTGTGCGTTGAACGTAACTTCATTCTCCAATCAATGCATTCATATCATCATGTATATCCTAGACGCATGTTTAGGATCATGGCATACTTTGCATACCACGGCAAGGGGTCAGGCCTAGTGCACCTCTTCCGTGGGCCGGTCCAGGAACCTGCGGGATCCAATGAGTTTTTATCACGAGGGCTTGTGTACGTACATGGTAGCTAGGCTTAGCTATCACCCACATTCTAGTCTCCATCGAGATGACTAAGGCGTTCCTCGGCTCATCTACCGCGTGGGGATGATCACCGAAGGGCAGGGGTCCCTGCGCAGTCTAACTCATGCATCATGTTTATTTGGAATTTTATCATTGTTAATTGTACACTCTTATTCGTTAAACTCGTACGTGGTACCTCATACCTTAGTACAGGTGCGATTATGTTTATATCAATGTGAATGTACTACGCGTTCTACTGTTAGATTACCACTCAGCTTTTGCTGAACCTATAGCGTTGTTTTCCTTTGCTATACGCAGGCAGGCCAGAGGACCATGGAGCCTGACCCAGATGACTGGGTGATAGGAGCTGCGGATGAACGACAGTGCGGGCCGGATGAATTACTTATTTAATTATGAAAACGTTTAGGGCATGAAGCCACCTTTGTCGCACTTACGTTATTTATGACTTAATGGTTTTAATTACATCGTTTAATAAAATATAGCAAGGGTTTTCAGTTACAAGCAACGCAAGGAGTTTTCTTGTCGACGGACCTAAAAACCGTCTACGTGACCTCTCCGGCTCGTTGGACCGCAGTGAACCGGGTTCGCGGGACGGAGGGTGTTACAATTCTTAGTCTAAGGCCAAATCATAACAACGCTCTTAGCTATTCTTAGTCTAAGGCAAAATCATAACAATGATTTTAGCTATTCTTAGTCTAAGGCCAAATCCATATCTTCATAACCAGACTTTTAAACTATGGCTAGTTTAAGGCTATTTCATATTGTTAACCAGACTCTTAAACTATGGTTAGTTTAAGACTATTTTATTTGAATAACGAGACTCTTAAAATGTGGTTAGTTTAAGGCAATTGATAATCAGACTCTTAAACTGAAATTAGTATAAGACAATTATTCCTAGACTGTTAAACTGTAGTCAGCTTAAGGCAACAACAGAACAGCAACTAATCATTGTCGGGTCGGGTGGTATTTCCAAACGAGTGATCCTCTAGTTTGGTCTATGAATCCCGTTCGTATGTTTGTATCCAAATCACCGAACATACATATTTATACACACAAGTCCATTCTAATCTGAGTTCTATCTTAGAGGTCTTCTAGATAGTCTTAGCAACACATATTATTTTCTTGCTCATCAATAAATTCACTTGAATCATGGTTCATTAATTCCTAATCATCATTTAAATCAGGATAATACGTTTAATTACAATTTATTCTTACGGTTTATTTATTCATAACAACATTTTCATTTTTCATCAGAATAAGGTCATCATCATTATATAATCACACAGGTCATTCATTAATCGTCATAATCAATATTTAATAGAAGTTATTATCAACGATGTTTCATTATGGTTTATCCATTATTATAATCATTCAATCAGAATGTTTATCAAGGTTTGATCAATATTGAATAATAGTCATCAAAAAACCATTCCTATTTGAAAAAAGATGCACCCTTAAAATGAGTAATTTTGGTGTTATTTTCTAATTTTTTCCTTATTTTATAATAGAGTAGGATCAAATGTGTAAGATAAATTAATCATAATTAGAAAATAATACCAAAATTAATCTTTTTA